ATCCAAACGATTATTGGTTATGGTCGTATGGGTGTCAACAGTATCATCCTGCAGATCAGGTTAATATTCAACAAGTGATATTCCCTGCGGCTTACACCCCTTTCGTGGGAGACAACACCACCTGGCCAATGAGACAGCTCGGGCCGGCCCGGAAGAAGATTCCTTGCAGGCTTACAGTCGTATGACTTCGGTACTGCCCCACTGTGTCTTGGACATGTATGCACTGCGGTCGGTGTGCAAGGCTTTGCTGCAAGGCTTCGTGCTGATTGTTCTACCTTGCGACATGAGAGGAAGCTACCGCCTTCAAAAGCTGCAGATGTGGGGAATTTTCGACAACACACTGATGTCAAATTAACTCTAAACAAGACTCTCAATGAATGCAAGGCATCCAATCGACCCGTGACCCTTGATATATCCAGCAATACTGAGATGCTCCTGTGTCATGAACACGTCGAGGCCAGGGATCTACGGGCTTCTGTACAGATATCATCTGCGTACATTCAGCTGTATAGAAGTTGGGCTGCTGTGATACAGCTATGGTACGAAGCTTGATTACACCGATCAGAATGTGGAGATATTCGCTGTTATTTCCTAAGCCCGGAGTCTCATTCACGCGTGTCATCGGCTGCAGCAAGATCGTCTTTGTTTCAGTGTCACCGTCCTACTCTGGCAATGTAGATCATGCAAGCATGACACAAAAATGTTTCTCACTGCGGAGTCTGTGAGCTTTCCACCATTATTCGCTCAATACTCCTCAATGATAAGTCTTAAGACTGCGTCAACTGCCATTGTGCGTTCTTCACTTTACAAAATGACTTTTTTCACGCCGCTACCTCTTGTAGTCTTGATCGTATGTGTCGCTCTCTTAGCGCTTGGCCTTCTTGGGCGATCCAAGAGGTCAAATCTCCCTCTGCCCCCGGGACCAAAGGGTCTACCATTTCTGGGTAATATAAATGACCTCCCCAAGCCTGGGATGCTTGAATGCCATCATTGGGCCAAGCACCAGGAGCTTTACGGTAGGGAAAAACTTCAAAGCACGCAACTGTTAGGACTGACAGAGATCCAGGGCCCATCAGCTCTGTAACTGTTCTTGGTCAAACCTTCATAATCATCAGTGATGCTGAGATAGCTCTTGAGCTTATGCGTGATCGTTCAGCGATTCATTCGTCGCGTCCCCAAATGAATATGAATATGCTGTGCGAACAAAACCTTTCCGTCCAGTGAACTATCTTGATCAAGGATTCGCTGACATGCTCTAAGGTCAGGATGGCACGATGCCACCGCGATGATACCGTACACAAATACCTGGAAGACCCACAGAAAGATCATCACAAAGACAGTTGGCTCGAACATCTCTCAATCGGTTTTTGAGCGCGTTCAGGAAGTTGAAGCCGCACACTTCTTAATGGATTTACTCGCGACTCCCAACGATTTGTTCGACCATATACGCAAGTGAGTATCTTCGATGGAAACTGAACAATTGGACCTAAGCTAAATCCATAACTGCAGAGAGGCCGGTACCGTGATCCTTAAGATCACGTATGGCTATACTCCCAAAGCCCACGAACGGGATCCGTTGGTTGACCTCGCAAATGAAGCTATGCATGGTTTCGCCGATGCCTCGGTGCCGGGAAAGTGGATGGTGGATGTCTTGCCCTTCTGTAGGTCTGTCTCACTCCAAATTCAGGCCTTACTAATCATTCGAAGTGCAATATATCCCTCAATGGGTACCTGGAACAGGCTTCCAGCGCGTCGCACGTGGTTATTCTGATGTTCTCCATAGGTGTGCTACCCTGCCCTATATGTTTACCAAACGACAGATGGATGAGAAAAGAAACAAGACTTCGTTTTTGTCACAGTGTATCGAGTCTGCACAAAATGACCCTCAGCTGGATTTCATCCACAGATTTGCTGCGCTGTCATTATTTGCAGGCGGAGCGGATACGGCAAGTATCACACAGTCAGCCCGTACTCCCTTTTCTAATATATTGATAGACAGTATCAGCTCTCATGACATTCTTTTTGGCCATGATGGTATTTCCAGACGTACAGCAGAAGGCCCGGGAAGAGATTGATCGCGCGATTGGAGGCAATCGCCTTCCATCAAATAAGGATCATGACAAGCTGCCGTATATTGAAGCTATCCTCAAAGAGACGCACAGATGGCATCAAGTTCTGCCAATGTGCATCCCTCATACAAGCATCGAAGAGGACGTGTGCAGAGGCTACAGGATCCCCAAGGGAGCTACTCTGATACCTAACAACTGGTCTGTGATTTGAGACCTTGCGCTCCGGAGAAATCACTAATTCTCATAGGCTTCTTATGCATGACCCCAAGGTCTATCCCGATCCCATGGCCTTCCGTCCGGAACGCCATCTTGATACACCGGGTCACAAGGCAGAGCCTGACCCGCGTAACTTCATGTTCGGTTATGGCCGAAGAATCTGTCCAGGGCGCTTTGTCGCAGACAATGCGTTGTTCATCACGATTGCGCAGACTCTTGCAGTTTTCAGCATTGAGAAGCCTTACGACGAAGAACTAGGTCACGTCATCGAACCTAGAATTGAATTCGAGCCAGGCACCATCAGCCACCCATCGCCATACAAGGCGTGTATCAAACCACGCTCAGAGAAACATGCAGATCTGGTGAAGGCCTTGGAACAAGAATACCCCTGGGAAGAAAGCGATGCAAAGGAACTGGAAAGTCTGAAGTGTTAGCAGGTGACCTGAGCGGCCACAGATTGGATGTGACGGAATCTAGCAATGCTCATGGTCTTTGGGCGAGCCTAGTATATCCGGGAATATGGCGTCTATTGCCAGCTTGCTAGATGGTCTCCATGTATGGTGATGATGTTAATCAGGTACTTCAAGACGGGCTACATTCTTTTTCCTGCGAGTTCTCTTGCGCGAACTACTGAACTTCTCTTATGAAGACCTGAGCAGACATTATCGTTCTCTAGCAGTGAATGTCAACAAGGCTTTCTCCAATTATGCCATCGATGTTGCTAGTTGACTGATAGGGAAGTACTTTGCGAGGCCAATGTGGGGCCTAGCGTCAACCTACATTCCCAGCCCCACTAGTTGCTAGGTTCATGACTCCCAGTGCGTAGCTACCCAGAAATGTATGGTATATAAAGGAAAGATAGGAACACGCTGAGGAAGGACAAATATGGCAGAGCAGACAGACACAGCAAGATTCGGACGTCCAGTCCCTAACAATCCAGCAACGACACCAAGCGGCAACATCACGCTTCCAGGTCGTCATGTTACCCTAGTGCCAATCAGTCCAGACCATGCCACAGATTTGTACGCGCTCGTCGAAGGCCCAGATAATGCTTCTTTGTTCGACTATCTGTTTGACGAGCCCCCTGAATCTGTCGCTACGCTGGAAGCCGAACTCACGAAAAAGACATCCAGCACCAACCCTTGGTTTTATACCATCATGCTCAAATCAACATCAGACGAGCCTACCAAAGTAGTCGGTATGGCCTCGTTGATGCGAATGGACCTTCCAAACCGCGTCATAGAAGTGGGCAATATACTGTTCACCCCAGCACTCCAGCGGACACCTGCTGCAACTGAAGCTATGTACCTACTCGCGCGATACGTCTTTGAAGAGCTTGGATTCCGGCGATATGAGTGGAAATGCAACAGCCTAAATGCTCCCTCCCGTCGAGCTGCCGAGCGTCTTGGTTTCAGATATGAAGGCACCTTCCGCCAGCACATGATCGTGAAAGGCCACAATCGCGACACTGCTTGGTTTTCGATGCTGGACTCTGAATGGGCCGCGGTGAAAATTGGATTCGAAGCTTGGCTCGAAACTTCGAACTTTGACAGCGATGGTCGACAGAAGAAGAGGCTCGAGGACTTGAGGAATGCCACATGAATGTAACTTTGCGGGAATGAAGGTGTGACACAAATTAGATTAGCAAGAGTTGTTCCTTACCTTGAAAGGTCGACTCAAAGACAGTCTTATACATCATTAGTGATTCCGACACCTCCTCGTGACTCCTCTACGGTGGCTTTGAGGGTACGCGAGAAGCATTGGTTCGCAATCTCTTGATGGATCGTGTGCGATTCGGAAAGAGGCCTGGCCACCGCCACGAAGCAATACTGCACTTGCCAGCCTGTTTCGACAAAGCTGCGCCACAGGTTTCTGGCAAGAGGTTGAAAATTGCTGGCAGGCCAAGAGAGGTATTACTGTCGATGGAAAGGCTTTAGGGAAGCGATCGACGATCTCCCGCTCGAAGAGTGGCTCTTCAAAGACTTCTTCAGTGACGACATTCCTACGAGTACGACTGAATACGACCTCACGGTAGTTTACGCTTGTTCTGAACGAAGCGTGAAGACGAGAAGGTTCATGACCACTGAAGGAGGATTACTTGGTTGGGCTCCAGACAATATGTTTGGTGATGTAGATACACAAACGCAGCAGGGAGACTTGATTGCGATAGTCTTTGGCTGCAGCACGCCGATTGTAGCACGACCGATTGGAGACATGTTCCACGTCCTCGGAGAGGCATATGTTCAGGGCCTGATGGATGGCGAGGCCATGCACAGCGGGTTCACGGCTCAACCCTTGGTCTTTCTCTAACAGCTTACCCCGCACGACGATCGTATCTTGCCTTAGTGTACTAAGTAGTCGAAACCCGGGGTTGAGTCCGACAAAAAAAGCATTGACAATAAGACCGAGACACTCTCCAATGACCGCTGTTGGTTATCGGTCATCGGCAGTTGACCGTTCGCTGTTCGCTGTCAGATCTGTCATCGCCGTATTCGCATCTCTCGTCACTCTGCATACCAACACGACCATGCTCCGCTCCGGCCAAAGAAAAAAGCAACAGGATGTCCTAGAGTGCTCAACTACCGTTGAACGAATGCTGATGATCGACTTATGGGGTCGGCAAACTCTCTCGCTCAGCCCTTGATCACCACCGCCCGAAACGCACAAATCCGCAAAAAAATATCCTGGAGTGCTCGACTATCGTCGAACGAATGCTGATGAGGACGGGACTCGAACCCGCGCCACTTTCGTGACCAGGAAGCTTATTGCTAAGCAACGCTAAGGAGAAGAACCTTAACCTGGCGCCATAACCAACTCGGCCACCTCACCGTTCTCCTTTGATGACTAAGAGCAAAAATAGAATCATTATAATCCCATAAAATCACAGCCCTGCATGCACTGTGACAGCTTCTGCTCATCATCGTTCCAGTATGTGCACGATTGTGCCCACTGGCCAAGAAGTGAATCGCCAACACAAAAGGCTCGTCAGTGCGCTCGGCCCGATTGATCTACCCCTGCCGTCCTGCGCTTATATTTGCTTGCATATGTAATTGTCATCACTGAGATAGTAATGTTTTCCCAAGTATACGAATTACTTGTAAAAAAAACTCTACTGCATGCTTTGTGCAAGATTTATCTCTGAAACAATGGAAGCGATTAGAGTAGGTTATAATGCTCGCGGACATGAATCATGGATGATCAATTGACTGTGCGCCAAATGAGCTAATATTGATGGGTATCTGAAGAAAGGTAAATGGCCTTATGTGCAAAATTGGATGTAGGATCGCAAGGCAAGTCGGATTCAAGAAGGTGAAAGGGAAAAAATCCAGATATTCAGAGCAACTCTTGAAGCTTGTATGCGAGCTCTTGTGCTACCATGCACACTCTCGTCAATGTTTTTACAGTCCGCTTCCAGCTCCAGGGAAAGCTTTGAGTAAGGCTGCATCGTACTTGACAAGCTGCGGACAGTCAAGAGTCGCGAGAACGGGGTTCAACGCGTCTGTCAACTTCCCAATAGCAGCCAAGGCATTGCCAAGCAGACCCCGAAGGATGTCTGGGCCAGCTGCGCTGATAGTCTGAAACGCAAAGCACATAAGGTTGTTCCCTTGAAAGAGTGTTTCTGCGTTGAAGACTCCACCGGTAAGATCAGTGACGCTCACACCGGTGAATGTGTTAGGTTCGCCAGTATTGCCACCAATAACGGCCATGTATGGAAGCGCCTTGAGGGCACCAAGTGCATCGATTGTGAAGCTGACCAAGCCGTAATCATCACCAATGGGACGTCTGTGCCACTACTCCAGTATCAGTTCTGCACAACATGGTTGAGATTGGGGAGGATGCTTACATTGTCGGGAATTCTCTCACATCCGTGCTCCCACTGGAAACTTCCCGGTTCTCCTTTTACGCCTTCGAAGGACTTGAGGGTCTCAAGATCAAGGTAGCCATCTGGGTGCTCGGCAGAGAAGTTGGCGAAGAGATGATAGGTGAAAAGGTATGTTGCAGTGTTGACTGCAAATTGTGTGAAAGGTCCAGCAAAGAAACGTCCGTTAGTTGCGACTGAGTTATTGAAACGAGCACCACGGAAAGGATGCATTACAGTGAGGTCGTAACCGTTGGGACCCTTTGGCATAGCCACGAGTTGTTCGAATTGAGCGAGGTCCAAGGAGACAGGATTACCACTAACATGTGTCAGTCACACTGCCGCCACGACAATGGTATATTCTCGCATACGTCTTGTAGAGGTCAGCTCGAGTAGGCGATGCATCGGCCTCAAAGCGGTTGTGCGATGCACTCAAGCCTTGTGCTTCACCAAGGAGACCCAGCGAAGATGTCAGCCCACCCAAGAGACCGCTCTTTGGTTTTCCGCCGATAGACACAGTGGCGATGTCACCTGCCATGACGCCCGAATAGACCGACAAAAACGCGGCCAGATCGAGTCCCATGCCAAACACTGGAAAAATGTCAGTTTCTCTTTACAAGCGAGATGTCAAGATAGTTACCTTCATTCGAAGCCGTTGTGATAGTTACGACCGAATCCACACCTGTTCGTGAGATGTATCCATGGTTTGCAAGGGTGTTTAGACCCGGGCAGGGACCACGAAGGTCATTGGGACCTGGCGCAATCTATTGGAGATCTGGTCAGTGATATGACGAATCAAGCGGCCTAGAAGATGACGTACGTAGGCGTGCTCGCCTGTGGTTTTGACAGACTGCGAGCCGGCATCGAATGCGCGTTTGACTCGTCCAAAATTTCGCTTTGCCTCTGCCTCATGAGAGATTTTTGCTGCCAAAGCAGTGATCTCAGCAAGTGCGTCATCACTGATGTCGCCTTTGAGTAGGCTCGTTGGGAAGGCAAAGGATGCTGCTGAGAACAAGACCACGCCGCAACCCAAAGGTACCTTCATAGCTGCGATGAAAAGTATAAAGGAATGGCAACAACAATAGAGTTAAGGAGAGAGAGAGTGTTGCTGAACGGGATACTCAATATCCGAATACTACTATATAGGATGCTCAAGCTTGACTGACTCTTTTAATATCGAGAGATCATTCCCAAGACCTTCCATCTGAACGCTCTCTGGGGAGCACTATAGCTGCAAAAGGTCTAGAGGAAGCTGCACCTTCTAAAGGCGTCAAGACTGACATGATGATCGACAACCTCAAGATTGATATTCGGGCGCTATGATTGGCCAGTCGCAGTACATGGCACGCACTAGTGTCAGCCTCTAGACTTCTTGCCATAGCAAAGGAATTCACGCGTGGCGGAGGCTCCACGGTTCAACCCGCAACGGGCCATGGCGACTCATAGCTTCAGGGCCGCACACCCTTATCTGAATCATGCCATAGATACCGTTGCATCTCCTAATTAGGTCTTCGACTTTTGAATCATTCCCTTACCTCGCCGAAAGTGGGCGTGTTCGCAGGCTTTGCCTCAATTCGCATCGCGATGGCCCCACTCACTGCTCACAGCCATGCGACAGCCTCACAGAAGATGCCTACTTCCTAGTACCGGGGAACGTTCGGCACCCTCAGCCCTGGTCGTTGACTGCAAGCCACAGCACTCGCGCGCGGGGATCGCCGCACAAGACCCCTAGACGCACCGATTTTCTAGTTGAAGCAGTGAGCATCGCCTTCTAGGAGTATTCTCCGTGCATCCGCTGTATCTATACGATCTGTACATGGGGTATGAATTATTGAATACGAGTTGCCTCACGGTGATTTATGCGATCCTTGATAACCTTTAGATTGCTCCGGCTCGGCGCATCTACGTATCAGAAAGACCTAGGAGTCGAGTTTGCCAGTCTTGTCCTGCTTCAAGCAATATGCGCGTTGCCGAGCTTGCGCTCGAGGCGTGTTATTTTCTGGTAGAGAACGTGACTCATGCTCAACGAACACGTCGGTTTCAAGCAAAGTTGATGTTTGCGAAATTTGATGCAGGAATGTAAAGCGAGAGATCGCCGTTTCTTGGGGAAGAAGAAGGTCGTGGTAAATCAATAAGGTTTGCTGTTGGCTCGAATATTGACTAGCCATTCTGAGGGCAGTCTAACCCAGCCGCCCACCAGGGCGGATCAGAGTAGATCCCGCGTGAATGGCAATGATCTTCACGCGGATTTGCGGCCAAAAATTCCGTCACGCATCCTTCGACAGGCTCGTGTGCAGTGACCCACACCGAGACGAGGCTTCATCTCTTGGCAGGGTCAATCTTTGTGACGTTAGACCCAGCGCCTCCACAAGCAGCTAACCTGCCACGTGCCTGTGAATTAGCAATGAACGACATGGGCTTTGACTGCCGCTAAGTGTCTGCAATCTTGAACGAAGTGGAACTTTCCCCTTCAGCTCCACCCGACCAGGCTACAACGGCTTAGATGGGTTGGACTCTTATCCGCGAACTTGAGTAGTTTAGGATGACGACTTCAGTATCTAAAAAGCAAAGGCAAACCTGCCAACCTTCCTTCGTGGGCCCCAGCCTTAGGAGCTATTCGTGCATACCGCGCTATCTTTGTGGAATCGTTCAAAGATCGAGCCAGTGTTTTGTCCCGGGCTACACTGGATGATCCAACAGTAAATCCAACAGAAATTGACCCCGGCCCACAACCGGACAGGGCCACTTAGCCGGGGAAGTCTTTCTGTATTTCACCTCCAGAGCCCTCGTTATTTGTCCGTCCCGGAGCAGGTCACAATGAGCCAGTTAGCCAGCTGGGTAAGCAATCCGGAAGAGACACACGGTCCCTTGGTGAGCGTCGTGGTCTGGTCTCTCACCGGAGCTGCTGGTGGCTTTCTATTTCTCAGGTTGTGCATTCGTCAGCAACAGGGAAAATTGTGGTTTGACGACCTTGTGCTGGGGACCAGCTGGGTATGCAGCCCGACCGTTCGATTCTACCAAAATTTGGGAGCTAATCAAGAGCAGTTGCTACTTCTGGTTCAAGCTATCATTAATCAGCTTACTGTCAACCTCGGCTTTGGTAAACATGCACTCGACAGTACGTGAACGCAAAAGATCCAAACTAGTGATACCACGGCTAACGCAGGTACAGTCAATTTTGATCACCTCGACAAAATCGCGTTCTATGGCGCAACAGGTCTCACTATATCTACCTTCGCCATCACTCTGAGCAAGATATCTTTCGGCGTCACACTGATTCGTTTGACGGATGGGTGGCCAAGAATGTATGTGTTCTTCACCATGGTGACTTTAGCGATATTTTCCATCCCAACTGCAACACTCCCCTGGGTCCTCTGCAAGCCCTTGAGCAAGACCTTTGTCGATATTCTCCCAGGAACATGTATGGACAAGGGACCTTCGGTGCATTACGCTCGTTTCCAAGCTAGTAAGTTAACGATACATACGTTCTGGAATTTACAATGAATGCTGACAAATCTAGTATGGGCAGCGTTGGTAGATATTTCCCTAGCAATTCTTCCGTGGAAGATTCTCTGGGGGCTCCAGATGCGGATGGCGGAGAAGATAGGAGTATGCTTGGCAATGAGTCTTGGATTGCTGTGCGTATAGCGGATTCGATAGAAGTTCAAGCATCTTGCTGACGTGGGTACAGGACTGCAGTTGGGTCCATCATTCGTTCCAGATACGTTGAGCTTCTCGCAACACAAGACTTGTCCTGTAAGCTCATCATGTTGATTTCAAGACGACAAAGCTAAATCGTTACAGACGAGGCATATAAATCGGTCATCTGGTCAGCGGCCGATTCGTCTATGACCATAGTTGCCGTTTCCATGCCTGTGCTTCGCGTTTTCGTGCAGAGAGCAGTCACTTCCGCCATCGATACATACAACAACTCAAGCCGCGATAAGTCACGAATCGAGAACTCTAGAGC